AATCTTGGTGACCAGTTCACAAGAGGTACTAGCATATAGAGCCATGGGGTTCTGTTTAAATAGTACAAAGCACTGATATGTTTATTAACAGTGTCAAGCAGATTCTTCATGGGCTACACGATTTCGTATAATGGTGGAAGAGAATGTAATAATTATGTCGATAACAAGCAACACTTAGAATAATTTGATGTATTAGTATATCTGATAAAGTAATAAAAGAAAGGAAGCCAGGGGTTTTGCTGAGTAGATCAAATGGCGTAAGTTGGATGTGGTATGAGAAAAAAAGAGAAGAATGGGAGGGTAAATACGCGATGTACCGATGTGCATAACCATTCAAGACAGTACGTATTGAAGAGTCACCGTAAGCAAAAAAGCATACAAGATATTGCATAATATGATCATTGAGGATGAACGTGATGAGGAGGAAATGCGGCGTACCTGTAGACGATTATATAATAAGTACATATTCGACAATGTTTAAAGTACACCAAACACTTCATTCATCATGAAAGCAAGACAGGCATTCATGCGATGCATTTTCAGACCAAGTAATACATTGCTATATTCAGATAGAGTGTTGTGCACAGCAGCCATACAGTGACCATCGGATAAACTTTTTTTCGTCTTTAACAGCTTTTCGAACCGTTGGATGTCATCAACCAGCAACTCGCTCGCAGAAAAATGGCCGCCTTGGACACTGTTCGTCAGTACGAAGCAATACATTACTAAAAGATGATATTTACCACTTCAAATTCGTTGAACTGTTGAAGGTCACCACTTGCTTCTAGCCATTCACGAGGGAACTTTGTGCATGTTGGGTCAGTTTTGCATATATACTCTAGATCTATGCAGTGGATTACCTTGTTTAGCTCGCTGGGGACATAGTCTACGCCCAATGGAATTTCGACACGGTTAAAGAACATTATCCGCATTGCCTCTTCGTGAACGCCCCGTAACACAGTCGTGTGGATGACGACATGGTGTTGGTAAGCCAATAGATGGTAAGTTCCGTCAGGAACTCGTTGGTTGTGATAGTCTCAGGCAGAGCCTCAGTGTCTTGCCTGTCAGCAGGATGAAACGTCCAATTATGCCTTTTCGAGCATCCAGGCTACACTAAAAAAAGTCAAGTTCGAGAGAAAAAAAAGAGACCCTTGCGATCTGACCATACCTAAACGTGCCACTGGGCTATCTACCAAGCCAAATACAAGTGTATGAGGACGCGTTCCCTGGATGGCACGGTATCTAGCCTCCCTGTCATTCTCAACGTCTGCAAACGATTTGCCTTTTATTTTGGTGCTACCACGACCATAAATTGTATCGTATCCAAGCGCCAAGCTTGAGCACTTTGATTGGATGGTTCCACAGATTCGACACTGTCGGGAGAGGCGGTACAACCATTAATTAGACGGTATGGATTCCCTTGCGTTGAGTCGCTCGGCTCTGCGCGATCCATTTGCCAATCACGGAAACCCAATCCGACCCAGCGATCACTTTGTTCAAATGAGTTTAGTAAAATCCCAGCTGATCCCTTTAGCGACGCCTTATATGGTGGGCTGCTGCAAACCAGACATGAAGGAAGATATGACAGAAGGGGTGCGCACTGTTGAAATTGTCAAGAGCCGCTATGGGGATACCAACGACAGCTGCTACACAAATTTTCTTACAAATGCCCGCAGATGCAAAGATGCTCTCAGCGGTCCTAAGCATGCTATCGCTCGACTGTGGTTTTACCACGAAAACGGCCAACAATGTTCACCGAGCACCAGTAGTAGCAGTAGCAGTAGCAGTAGCAGTAGCAGTAGCAGTAATGGCAGCCACCATCATAAAGGTAGTCGGACGAAAGCCTTTTTGAATAAGCTGCTCCATAGGAACAAGTAAAAACCACAGCGCTGTGTACTCATGTACTGTCAGAAGAAACCAACTGTATGAATTGCACAAACTGTATGAAGTGAGCTTACTGCATTGACTCCTCGTTACTACAGCGCATACAGCACTTGCATGAAATATGATTCCAGAGCAGCTAAGCTTTGCATATTTTCAAGAGAGAACCATATTCAAGAACAATGTTTTTTTGTTAAGCCATGTTTGATGGAGTAAGACAAATTTCAGAGCAAAGAGGTTGGCTTAGAGAAGTAGAATACAGATCAAGATGGCAAAATTAAATATGTCGGTGCGACGTCTGTGCCAAGAATAAGCTAAAGTGTGATGACAACAGCAACAACAATACCGGGCCGAGTACAACCTCTATGCTCAAGTCTTGGTTATCAATATGAACCATTACTTCACCATGACTGTCGCACTATATAGTCTGGCATATAGCAACCACGGATATACGATAAAGGCGTGGAATGTTACACGGTGCTTTTGTGGTTTAAATTTATTTAATCTATTTTAATTTAAAGGTTCTTCGAAGATGAACTAAAAAGGTGGTAATATCGCGATCCCGCCAGTGCCGGATGCGGTTGAATGTAGCGGCACTGCAGTGGTTGAGTGAGAGTAAGGGAGGGGAAGGATTTTTTTTGCTAAATGTCGTAAGGGACAATTGATGCTTATTACAAGTAAGTTTATGGGCTTCGACTTTATGCTTCGTTCCATTCCCTGTCTGACGTTTTTTGGTAAATTTCTTGCGCGGATATGTATATAGAAAGGGAGGGAGAGAGAGAGGCAAGAGATGAACCAAAGTGCAGTAAGGATACACGTAGGACCGACGGAGACGAGCCAGTGCAGAAATGCTACGGCAGAGAGTGGCGCTGCTAAGTCAAGTTGAAATTAGTCTATGGCTCAATACAACATAGCGATGACTTTTCTGTGGGGATATACGAATGACTCACATATTTGGGGTGGGCCGACTGCTGTTTCTATACCCTTTCAATGCAGGCTCAAGACTAATGTTATTGGCATTAGCAAACATATCTTAACCATGACTATTGTACAAAAGGAAGAACGTGGCTGACTATAGATACCTTTGCAGAATACAGCATGTCATCCTGATGGCCCAGACGGCAGCCTTGGCTAGCAGAACCGTTGTTCAGACCGTGAGCTTGGTAATGAGGAACACGGTCCTCATCAACGATACTGCCGCCTTCAGAACCGAGGCGGCCGTCTCCACAACCGAGACCGCCGCGCTTATGACCAATGCTAGGTCCTCAGCAGTGAGCTCAAAAGCGGCCTGGTTGTGGTTGTCGTCCTTGGTGGTGGCGATGGAGACAGAGGAGGCAGAGGAGGCAGAGGAGGCAGAGGAGGCAGAGGAGGCAGAGGAGGCAGAGGAGGCAGAGGAGGAGGAGGAGGCGGAGGGAAGTAAACTGGCGAACCAGCGGAACGCAGTTTGCAGTGCCGAGGCAGCTGCAGGCAAAATTGATTTTAAAATAGGCATTCTGTTGTGTGTGTGTGTGTGTGTGTGTGTGTAGAACGAGAAGTAGTAGTAGTTGAAGAGTAAAGAGATATCCAGGATCGAACGAAGCTTGGTATTTATAATGCTAGAACAAACCCTTAATCAATCCATCCATCCGCAACAGCTGATCGATCACCTTTTGCACACTCAACTTATCATCCTAATTCATCATTACTACTTCTACTTCACCCGAGGGTTTTTCTGACATTTAACCTTGTTCTTGTCCGGTCTCCCTTGTCATTACTCCTGTGTAATTTCTTGTGACAGAGCATCGGGAAGATAGATCAACAATGGAGGATCTGCTTTCAGAAATAGTAGGAACCCCACAGAGAAAAGTAGAGAGATTGATTGGCAGGTCGGAAGCCATGTGTCGCTTCACTGAGGGTTTCTTTTCCTCTTTATATACATCTATTACGATTAATAACATCTGCATCGGCACTACTTTTGGAGCCCGTTCCACTACAACCACAAGATATCATACATCAGCATTTAGCAACATCATACAGTAATCACATGTTGTTTTCGAAAAAAAAGAGCAGCAATGACAGGAGCTCCTTCGCAATATGATCCTTGACGCATCATAAATCCTTGTCTTCCGATGTGCTGATTAATGGCCGCCCAACTTTTGCACTGGTTGTCTCCTTGTTTCTTTCACGATACTTTCGTCCATGTATTCCCTTTCTCTATGTCCTGACATCCATCCCAGCTCTTTCCAAGCAGCAAGAACACTGCTACGGCAAAAGAGAAAGCATAATAAAAACAAACAGCTACAGATCCATGGATCTAATAACATATGATAGACACTGATAATAAAATCAATGGTTCATGCTTTCCTAGACGTGAGCTTTTACACACGATCACAAGCCATTTCTCTTGTCCAGGGCTACTAGTACTACACATACAGTAATACTTTGATACCAACTCCATGCGCGTAATATTTTGATAGATCAACAAACCGTTGCGACATTATGATCGAATGACTTGTATTTCACGGTACCCTTACATTTTTTCAAATACCCGGGCGTGCTGCATTATTGTTGTTTTCATCAATATAGACATTTATGACAAACAAAATCAACAGTGACAACGAGATATCGTGATTAAAACAGCATTTCACGGGACATACTGCGGCCATGCCCAGTAACGCGTTCTGTGTGTATTATATAGTGTAGATGAGCACGCTTATTCATAAAGTTGTCTATATGCCAATTTATCTGGATAACGCCGTCTGGTTTGGACCCTGTGTCTTCATTTTCCCAGATCCTCTGCTAGTTTTATAGTAATCAAATAAACAGGTGTTTTACCTTGCTTACACGAGGTCCGATTCCCGGTATTGCTATTCTGCGATGCCAGTCACTCAATTCATACAGCAGGCTTGTACGTTTGCTAAAGCTTCTGTACCGAATGACATCATGTAAACTCAGTGTATCTATACTTGGAGCATTGTGACAAACACGCTTGATTTGATGCTTTACTACGTCCTCAAAGTAATGCTGCTTACAAAATATAGGAGGGGCCATCATCGCTCATTATAAATAAATCGGAAATATCTTGCTTTCCTGACAGTGACAACATGTTGGCGATATTAGGTTTGTAAAGGCAGTAAATAATGTTGTGCAAAAGGTGATACATAATGCTTACAAAGATATATGCAAAATCCTTGAGAAAAAATTCATCAGCCAGTGTGAAAGAGCTGTCATATATATGATAACGGGGAAATAGATTCTTGTTCTTACCTTTCGTGTACTTTGGTATCATGGTAGTTTACCTTCAATTTGTTGAAACGACGGAGTAGTATTGGAAGGAAGAGGATAAAAGACAAAATGCTTCTTTGACCTAGAGAAACTCATAAAAGTACATCGTAGAAAGGAAGTAGGTATTAGGAAGGGTTTAAAAAACTCCATAGTATTATCATGGCCTTGATTCACTGCTTCCGCTAACTCTTGAATAAGGTTCAAACTGATAAAGATGCAGCAGTCAATTGTAGTTGTCTTCTTATTGCCATAGCTAGAACTAGCTGCCGATGAATCCAGCTGACATAGCTACTATTATATGGCTATCACTAGCAGCATTTTACAATTTGATAATGCATTAGTGCTTTCGAGCTCTCATGACAAGTGCAGCACGACAAGTTCCAATAATAAATAGAATATGTTACACAGAGCAGCATAACTGACCCTCTTGTGTTAATTATAGCAGATGGGTGGTGTCGTGCCCGTAAGAAGCACAGCGCCTATGTTTTATGTAAGAAGTCAATTGGTTGACATATGTAGGTGGGACGCGTCGTGCCCGTAAGGAGGGAATTTTGAAAGACGTACCGAGATAACCGATAGGCACTCTTCGTTCAAATAAACTCTGATTCTTGAGAATATGATGATTCTTTCACAACTTTGTGCGGATATATATCAGTGGCACTATCAGAAGAACCAGTACAGTACATGTGTTTTTTTGCAGATAAACTGACTGTTTCAACTGAAGGAGATGGAAGGGGAAAAAAATCACTGCTTCTTCTAGCCTACGAGTCCACATTTATGTGCGGTACTGTATATTTACCATTACTACTGCAAGCACGAAAGAAAAAGCGACGTGGTACAACTCAAAGAGCGAACCTAGAGTGGCAAGGAATACAAAGGAGGCGTAGTGCTTCAGGTTTCATGTTGTAACATATTATATTATCGATATATGCTATCGGAAGGTGAACATCGATATACATGCAAACCACGGAATAGCTTTGCAAATGTTGTTTGATTTTATAGCAACATGGACTGGTGCTTTTTACGCAACGGGACCGGGAATGTATCCAAATGCGTTGTCAATGTCGCTATCCAGTGAGATTTAAGTCGCTATTCTTTTTAAAAGTGTGGTCGTCGCGTGATCAGAGGATGTAGCATGCTTAGATCTCAACGCTAGTAAACTCTTGGCACTTGGCACTGAGAATATGTAATTGCCATGGTTATTTTGGTATCATCTCTTCTTTCACTTCATTACATGCGTACAAAGAATCTTGCATTTCTTTACGATGATGGGCTCGGGACCGTTGTTGATGAAGATGGTAACCCTGAGCCCATGGATTATGTTGTCGACGAAGAGCGTTTTGCGGTTGAAAGACGTGTCTCACATACAAACTATTAGAATCTTCCAAACTTAGCTTCAGAATCTTTTCAGCAGCGCACTCGTCGTGGTCGTGGTCGTCGAATGCAGATTGATCAGCCAAGGGATGAATACGTTTGTATGAGGGAAGCAAATGAAAAACGTGAGTATACTCGGTATACCATAAGGATAAGGAGAGATTATATAAGAGAAAGATAGAGAAATGCTTGAGTGCATATGCTGCGGCCAAACAATTAAGTATCGGTATTCTTACTGGTCAAAGATGGGTTAAGGAGCATGGTGAACTTGGAGACTGCTTCTTTGAGAGTTGCAAATAGTCAGGTCGTAAATCGATTCTGCAAGAGGAGCACCAGAAAGTTATTGAAGCTTTCGTTGATGAACGTGCACAGCGTAGCGTTGTTGAAGTAGTTGAGCATTTACAAGAGAAGTTCGTTGACTTTCAAACCTCTCGTAGTGCCGTTGACCATTTTTTGAGAACCAAGTGCAACCTTTCACTGAAGCAAGCAGACTTTCACTCTGAAGAAAGAAATGGCCCTGAGAAGATCAAGGAGCGCTATGATTGGCTTCGTTAATGAAGTAAAACTGACATGAACCCTGATTCAAACTGTGTATTTCTTGATGAGGCTGTCTTTCATATCAACATGAGACGCTCAAATGGTTGGTTTAAAAGAGGTACTCGCGCTACTGTCACTACGCCTTAAACGAGAGCAGAAACAACGACCATATTAGGCGCTATTTCTTCTTCCGGTCTAGTTAATGTTGATTTAAGAGTACCAATGGCGATAAGGAGACAGAAGGCTAATGGTGAAGACTATAAAACACCGGTACTATAACAGGCCACTATTTTAGTTTTTTCTCAAAAGCCACAATAGATGAAATGGATAGGTATGAGAAATATAAAGACTACTATATTGACATGGATACAGTAATGCACCTATTCATATAAACCGGAATATAGTAGAGTATATCTACTGGCGAGGATATCGATGTGCTTATCTTCCGTTATATTCTGCTGAACTCAATCCAATTGAGAATTTCTGGTTGGTGGCAAAGAGTCATGTTAGGCGTGAGCGGTTCTTAAAGCAGGAAACTTTATCGACAAGAATTGAGGAAGGATGTCATTAAGTAAAACCAAGTGATTGGGAGAAATGTCGAAATAAGCAAACAATCTAACATGTTGTATGATAGGCCAATTGTTCCCGACCTAAGTATTTTCAATAGAAAAGTAAACGAAAAAAGGTCGAAAAACAAAAAGCAAAAAAAAGGCAAAAGAGAAAAACAATAATTAAATTAGGCAAGTGTCAGCAATCAGGTAGCAATACCCCAAGGGTAGATATCATATGATGAAATAAGTTGCCAAGAGTTTACTAGCATTGCCAGGCATATGAAGTAATCCAGTCACATGACTACAGTAGCACATTTTAAAAAAAAATTGCGACATAAATTTCACTGGATATAATAGCGACATTTCTTTTTGGCGACACTGTATGTACAACATTCATCCATCATTCGGTAGTTGCTACCTTCCTGAATGCGGTCACTAATGTTGTCAAGTGCCAGGTGCCAGAGTAAATTCATTGAAAAGGAAACTGACAAACAATGTTCATTTGATATATTTAATTATTGGTTTACATGATGATGAATTGATATAAATTGAAATATACATGATACAATAGGAATGGGTATTGGAGTGCAGTTATGTATATGAATTGGGGTGGTATAAGAAGGAAAAGAATAGGTATTAAATACTTTTTGGTGCTTTTTTGGGCGACATTGTATAAGGAAATAGTAGTTCAGGCTTGTTTGTAGTTGTTTTATAATTAGAGCTTTCGATCAGCTTGTCTGCTTCAAGAGCTTTCACAGTGGAACAC